TGAAAATAGACGGAGAATAGGTTTCCAAGAAGATTCTTTCGAAGACGTTGCATATCGACTTCTAACTTGAAAACAAATTTGTTCCGCCTATAGAGGGTATGGCATCTGAGTGACAGGATGGGAGAAGTGAGCATTCGCGCCTAGAATAATCCACCTACACATCCTATTGAATCGTTTTTTGGCAATCTAAAATGGCAACAAGAAAAATCTTCATACAATAAAGTATTCTATTCAATTAACAGTGAGCAAATGTTTGAAAAATTTTCACTATTGTAAGAGTTTGATTTATGTAAAGATTTCATATTTTTGATAATGAAACGAAGAGTATTTAACAAAGTAAGCTTGTTTAATAGTTTCAGGTAATCAGAAAAGATTATCTGTATTACCCATCTTCTTTAATTTGAATATTTTTTAAACTACAACCTATTTAACAGAATACAATTTTTTTGTATTATTTAACTATGGTTTCAATCTAATTTTTCTTCGTTTTCAAAAATGTCAAATACAAAAACAAATTGAACTGTGCGACTTTTAAGCTGATTCGCGTTAGTTTTTACCAATTCTATCTCGTTCAAACAAAAAAAATCTTCTGTCAATCATAAATAAAATGATTCCTCAAGTCACTATGAAATAACGTAACATGAACAAATTAGAACGAATTAACAAATCTTAGTTAACTTAGGTGGTATTTTTACAAAGATGTTTATTATGAAGAGTCATCTTCGAGGAATTAAAATAACTAAATAGGTTACTTTCTTTGTATTAGAAGGATGAAGTATCAATGTGTCACTTTTTTTCTTCTACAAGCGAATGAATCCTTATGGACGTCAACCTTTTCTCTTCTTTCTCTTGGCTTTATTTTACTGTATTTGTCATTTAAATTGCATGTTATCTGTTAACATAAAACGTTATGCACATTTATCATTCTCCGATTGTAAGCCGTTTTCAACGTAACAATAAACCAAGCAGATGCAAAAAACAATGTATATCATCTCTACTGCGTTCTTTTTCTTTTCTTTTCTTTTCTTCTCTGACATCAAGCCACAACTGACGTTTGTTTCAATCGCTCTATCGTCACGTCAGTATCGAATATAGGACCATTTTTTTTCTTTCGCAATAACAACACAGAATTACTACACATGATTACAAAGCATATATAAATGCATGTCACTCACATTTTAGATACATTTCTTCTCGTATACATACGTACACAATGGCTATTATCGTCAAGCAGAATTCCATCATTATTAAATGTTCAAATCCATCGAACGATGTTGAATCTATTACATGCATGGCAGTTGAATCAAATGCAAAACACTATCCTGTTAGTATGATCTGGCTTTATTCAAATGATTCCAATCTGTCAAAAGATGAATTTATGCCATCCGATCAATTACAAACTACTCTATCGGATATTCTCAATTATTTTCCTATACTGGCTGGTCGTGCTACAGAAGATAATAAAGGCAATGTCACTATGCATTTGACAAACGAAGGTGTTCTTTATACTGAAGCAGAATGTACAAATTGTTCTTTAGATTATTTCATACCACGGACGTTTCCAAATGAAGATTTCGACTATGAACATATTAATACAAGTGATTTAGCTGTAAAATTAAACATGAATAGTACAGGTCCTTGTGTGTCGATACAAGTAACGCGTCTGCAGTGTAATAGCGTTATTCTTAATGTATCGATTCATCATTATTTAGTAGATGGACAAAGTACATCAGATTTTGTCAATGCATGGGCATCTGGAAAGCTACCACAACCGATGCCGATGTTCGATAAAACATTTATCCTATATCCTACTGAAGAAGAACAACAACAAAGAATAAATTCTTCAATTCGACCAAAAGATTGTGTTTTTAATCGAAATTTGAATCGTTTAGCTAGTTCAGCATTCATTAGTGCACAAGAACAACGTGTAATTAGCAAAGTTTATTTTTTTTCTGCTGAAGAATTAAAAAATCTTAAACAAGAAGCCTCAAAAGACTTACCAAAATCACAAGATTACATCAGTACATATGATGCACTTTATGCTCATATGATTTTAGTGATTGCTGCAGCTACTCAAACTTCATTAACGGATAATATTAAAATTCTACAATCATTAAATGGTCGATCAAGTTTTTTGTCATATTGTTCATCAGCTGTTCTCAATTATTTTGGTTCATTTGCATTTTGGCTCTATTCTATAATACCATCAGATCAAGAACCAACTCTTTCATCATTAGCACAACAAATACATGAGATATATTCAAAACAATCCGAATATTCGCTCAGAGAATATAATACCTATTTAATGAGTGGTGATGGTGATATTAACAGAAATCAAGTAGATGGAGATATAATTAATCGTGATTTTCATTGTGCATCATGGCGAAAAGGAAATTTGTTAGGTGTTAAATTTGGTAATAGTGGATTTCCTGTCTACAGTGGACCAACAAAACAAATCTATCCAAGATATTTTCCAATGATGGATACACATTTAAGAGATGGATCGATTAATATTTTATTAGGATTAAGAGAGCAAGATTATCAACGAATGATGGAACAAAATATGCTACATAAATATCGATAAGATTTTATGAAAATATTCTAAAAATTATTATCTATTCTATGAT